CTCGAATGAGGTTAGGACTTTTCACGGTTTAACAAATAACAAGACCAAATTTTCCACCGAATTCACCGTGCATAATGAAGTCGGAAGATTTCACACTTGATAATATTTCATCCGGCACAGCTTTAAAAAGTTATTCTTTTGTGGTAAACAAAACTTTAATATTCTCAAATGTATTTCACTATAAATCTGAATGTGTTATGTGATAAACGACATTATAATTTCATTTATAAATTCCGTTTTCATAATGACAAAAAGAAAAGAAAATCAAAACATTCCCGTGCAAAAATCAGTCGAGGCGTAAACATAAAACTTCGGAAGTTGTATGAGACGTCTAATGCTATATTTCATGGTATTTAATAATTAAAATAATTTACCATAACACTGACTATAGATGAGTAACTTAACTTCTAGAAAAAGGTAAGAATCTTGTCGTATTTTTGCCATTTTTTTTCACAAAAATGTGAGGGTAAACTTTGATTCTTTAAAAATATACGGCCGTTGCGAGTTGCTATGACTACAGTGTTTCCACGTGTAGAAAAATATTTCCATACTTTTCTCCATTTCCATTTCTCACATACCATGTACCCTCCAAAACCCGCAACCCACTTAAATTTTCTAACAATCATGTTACCATCCATACGCTTAACTATATATATATATATATATATATATATATAATATATTAATATATTATTATATATATAATTATATATATATAATAATATATATAAATATATATATATATATATTATATATATATATATAATATATATATATATATATATATATATATATATATATATATATATATATATATATATATATATATGCTAGTAATATAGCTACCGACGAAACTAACAGATCCTCGTGGATCAAAATCTTAAAATCTTAAGGAAATTTTATGCGCAATGGAGGCATATTAAATACCAGTTGCAATTTACTTTGAGGTGATTCATCATAAACTTCTCTCACCACCTAATTGAGAAAAATTATCTTTATATGTTCCAGGAATTAAAAGATCCGGCTCAATAGCTCGCAATATTGAAGATAAGTTTTCGGTTTAATCAGGAGCATATTTAGCTAATTAAATACCAGATGTCATTCTCCTATTTGTAATTATTCCCAAGATCTATAAGGCTGCCAGTTTCAAAGCCGTATTCAACTTCCACAAAAACTACTGAATGTTATTGTGGGAAAGGCTCAGGGGCGGATCTAGGGTAAGTCCAGTCAGTTGCGCGACTTACGTATTTTTGGCAGTAAAAATGATAATTAAATATTCAAATTTATCTTGAAATATGAATAATTAACCCCTCCAAGATTGTAATAAGAATTAAAATCATAGTCCAGTTAAAGGGTTCAGTTTCAAAAAAGCAATATTCTTTCATCCAGAGCAGCGGTAAAACGCAAAAAACTCGCAGAATCGGGTGGGTCAGCCGGCTCATTTGATTGGTCGATAAGCCATTTGGACTTATCTCGACTGATTTGTGGGGTGGCCGGACTGATTTGCACCTTAACGGGGCCAAATCAGTCCATTTCTTGCATTGCGATTGGTCAGTTTGAATTTACCGGACTTATCTCGACTGATATGCGGGGTGGCCGGACTGACTTGAACTTTAAACGGGGTTCGATCGCTCTGTCTTCAGGGGCCGGTTGTTCAAAAGCCGGTTAACGCTAACCCAGGGTTAAATTTGCTTAACCCTGGGTTAAATTTTAACTCTGGGTTACTTTGCGTTGTTCAAAACTAGGTTATCTTTAACCCTAGGTTAAAGGAAGGGTTAACTTTAACCCTCCTCGCTAGATGGGTTAACTTACTTAACCCTAGGTTAACGTATCAAGTTCGCAAATAAAACATGGCAGGCTTTCCTTTTAATTTGTTTCGAATGAATCATCCTCGTCGGGAAAGACGATATCGTCCACGTGGCATAAATATTGACGGCCTTTACGACGATGAGCTAAGGGCAAGGTATAGGTTTGGCAGAAACACAATAAATTACATTACAAACCTTCTGCATGAAGATTTAATTCGCAATACGCAGCGAGGCCATGCACTTGAGCCACAACAACAAGTCCTAATTGCCTTGAGATTTTATGCCTCCGGCAGTTTCCTACAAGTTGTTGGAGATAGTTTCGGTGTTGACAAATCAACGGTGTCTCGAACGGTCAGAGATGTATCTTTGGCACTGAATAGAAGACGAAATGATTTCATAAAATGGCCGTCTTCAATAAACGAAATCGAGAAAGTAAAGAACCACTTTTTTGCACAAGCTGGCTTTCCGTCTGTGATTGGTTGTGTTGACTGTACACACATCAGAATTCAGGCGCCACATCATAACGAGAATAATTACGTGAACCGGAAGCGCTATCACTCTATCAACGTACAGGGCATTTGTGATCATGAAGGTACATACTGATACTGTATCATAATATATATAATCACACTGCTATTACTTGTACTGGGCGTCCCAAAAGATTAGTCCAGTTTAATTAATAACTTTTTGAATCAGTAAAGCCATTACACCACACGTTTAAATGTACTACATTTTTAATATACTCCTCTGATAGGACGGTTTACAAACATTGTGGCTCGATGGCCTGGCAGCACCCATGATAGCCACATTTTCCACACATCTCAAATATGCCAGCAGCTTGAGAACAACCACAACCACTTGGAGCAAGGAATTTTGCTTGGTGACAGTGGCTATGCATTGAAGCCATACCTTATGACACCATATCATGAGCCAGCCACAGCAAATCAAAGGGGGTTTAACCGAGCCCATAGGAGGACCCGGGTCATAATTGAACAAGTATTTGGTAGATGGAAAAGACGATTCCATCTTCTGCACTCAGAAGTGAGAATGCACCCGGAAAAGGTTTGCCAGCTTATTGGTGCATGCGCAATATTGCATAATATTGCAATTGCATTTAATGAGCCAATGGATGATGATGATGATGAAGATGATGAACTGGAAGTACAGGAATATCAAGGGCATGAAACAGGCCATCTTATCAGAGACCATATAGCAAACACTTTTTTTTAAACAGCTATTAATTGGCATGAATTTGTGTATATTAAACCACAGGCTATTATGGTAAGTTGATTGATGTGTTCAAGCTTGTAAATGACTGAGTGTACACTCTACTTTTTCCACATACCCATTTAATTAATATTAAATATTATCATATCAAATATTATAATTTAATATACAGTGTCAATAAGTATGGGTTATAAATTATATTGCAAATATGTAATTGTGATTAGTTTATGAACAGTTTATGAATGCTATAAATAAAATAAATATATAACATTAATATAAATACTTTACACACAAAATTATATACAGCTAAATGAAATTTATATTAATAAGTTTTTCCTTTAACGTTGGAGGAATAAAGAATGATAAGTACTTGAGAGTGTGTATTTACAATCATGAACATGAAAATTTGTTGCACAAGGCAATCTGTCTGCTTTTAATGTGTAAATGCCTAGTACCTTACAACCCCTATTACCACTTGCATGCATAGAATTTGAGGTTCTGAAAGTCCAACCATAATTAAGCTGTATAGAAATAATTAAGTTATCAAAGAATGAATAGACACAGTACCCTTCAAAGCTTCAGCATACTATTTTGTGCCTCTCTTAAAGCCTGGTTTTTTAGTTTTAGGTTTTCCTTCTTCAATATTAAAACTTCTTTTGGTGTTGTAGAACTTCAGCTTGCAGCTTTAAAACCTCTTGGTTTGTTATTCTCCTTTTTCGTTCTGTTTTGCTTGGTGGAGGGAGGGCGGGATAAGGGTGGTGGGCACAGGTAAACAATTAGGAGTAAAGACTTCTTCCTTATTCAAAGATGGTGGTATCGGACGCTGTTTTTCACGATCATAATTATCTTCATCTGAATCATCTGAGTCGAGTTGTCCTACTTCTGTTAATTCTTGAAGGATACCGTCTCTAAGTGCGGGCGTGCTACAACCCTCCAAGGATTGTCTATCCTGTCCGTCTGAAAAATGAAGAGACATAAAATACCCAAATAATAAAACATAATACATATACAATAAACAAAATATATGCTTTAAAAAAAGGCGAAACTGCAAAATGCAAAGTGTTGACACAAGCATTTATATATAGCAGAGTCTTGGCAAAGTTAGAATTTCAACTAGAAAAAAACTTATCTTAGTTTAGGAAGCCGTTTTCACTAATGGAGTTGAACAAATATTAATAGTTGAAAACTTGGCAATTTCTTTGCAAACATGGCCGCGTTCGTGCAAATATGATGATATGAAATGAATATATGATTACAATTTAATTAAGCGTTGCGCTCTGGAAACTAATTTAGAGACTTGCCCAAACTTGTACCACAGTTCAGCGCAACAAATGCAATCACTTCCCACCGGTACCTGTTTCAAAGCCGCTTAATCCGGTAAAAAGAGAGAGTATCTTCAAATATTTTGATTATCCTCTCTTGCGCTGCAGTGGGTTCTTTAGGTGGAGGACCACCTCCAGTTTTTCGCATCTGCCTATTCACATCGGCAAACGTTTTCTTAGCGGAGCTGGTCAGGTTCTTCCACTTCTCTTTAATTTCGCTTGTTGTGCGGTTTGCCACCCCTATCGCGTTTATTTCTTTTGTGATATTCTCCCAAATTTTATTTTTTTTCTGATTCGTTACCGCATTGGTTAGTTTTGACTGGATTAGTCCTAAATTTTCTTGCACTCTGCTGGTCAAAGTGTCTATTTCGGTCACCGTAAAGTTGAGCTTTCTTCTTTTCTTTTGTCTCCCTCCTTCAACGTCCGCCATTTTGCAAGAATTCGCGCGCTTTTTAACCTAAGGTTAACTGCCTTAACCCTGGGTTAGTTAACCGCAACTTTCACACTGCTTTGAACAACGGAGTTTTAACCTGGGGTTAGCTAACCTTGGGTTAAGGATTTTAACCCAGGTTTAACGCTAACCCAGGGTTAAATTTAACCCGCTTTTGAACAACCGGCCCCAGAATGATAAAATTACAAAATTTATTATTAAACGAAGCCAGGCTCTCCACTTCTAATATTCTGTTATACGAACGATTACAACTTTATTGTTAGAAAATTATTTTAATACGCGGACATTCGAAGCAGGATTTTACAAGATAACTGGCTCTTGATAAGCATTATCGTGGAGCAGCGATTTCATGCGAGCAACTGTGTTGATGTTAGACTTTAATAGACGAGGGAATTAATCACGATATCCCTGCTGAACATGCAAACTAAGACTGTGTTGGTAAGAGAAACGTTTAACATGGATATAATATAACAAATATAGCAATATACCTAAAAATATAATGATTTAGGAGTGTTCCATGCATGCGACAAGTTCGTTCACAGTTATTGATTTCATGCCGCTTTGTTGTGTAACGTGATCAATTATCAATATATAGTTTATATATCATAATCTTCCTAGTAGTTCCTATGCTCAATATTATAGTTATAAAACTCATCCTGTCGTAAAATGTACTAGAATGGATAAGCCTACTTACTCAACACTCGCTAGAGTGTTTGAGAATTTGCATTATACTGAAGTTTGCGATGCATATTATAATATTCGCGTCTATTTATAGCATATCATGTTTGTTATGATTAGCATGGTTTTGTAAAGTTCTTGTACGCCTAATGCATCTTACGCGAAGCAATGGAATATTTCTCTTTATATTATTTGAGGATATTGTTTAATTTGTGTTAAGTCAACTATTGCTATCATAAGGGGATAATATATGGGAAAGTTGTGTGTTTTGAAATATGACCCTCGCCAGCTCTGTTAATAAGCGGAATCTAGTATGTCTTTCCTGGGCATTGTGATGAACCCTAAAATGAGCCGAAATAATCAAAATTCCGATCTGCCGATTTGAAAAATTTTCTTAAAATTTCACAATTTGGACTTATGTTTGAAAAATCCTAGATCCGCCCCTGGAAAGGCTCGAAACAGGCGTAATTGCAGTGCCCTAGATTATAGCATGGCTTCCAACCCATGCAGTGGTTACTAATTTTGTTCGCTTGCATGCATGATCTAGGCACAGGGTGTTAAGATTAAACCTTCTTTTAAAGCGTCTCAAAAGCTCCAGTTTTAAGAAAACATATTTTATACATGTATATATATAACTACTATAGGTAACATCTTTAGATCATACATTCTATCACCGGCTGATCGACCTACGCCAAATGTTACCGTCGAAATATCATCTTGTCTTCTGCCGGACTGGCTGTCAGATGTATGCACTTGTCAATAAATAGTCATGCACCCAATGATCGAAAGGTTTGACCTCTCAGAGAACGTCTAAAAATGCCATATGAAAAATGCATAGTATTGGGTTGAAGCGTTTGTAATCTCATTTGCTGCAGCATACAGCGAGTGAAAAAACATTGATTAATTAATTATGGTTTCACCTCTTAGAAATGCTGAGCCACATCCAAGGTCGCGCTGCGTGCATGCAGTCGATAGCTGGTGTTGTGAAATTATAGCGCCGCCTCGTCCTAGCTTGTTGCTAATACCTGCATTATACGTATATATTTACAAAATAGAAATAAAGTCGCGGTGTGTGTTTGATATGATGTATAGCATTCAAACTATCTTATGCTTAAATGACTTTTTTGGTAGAATTAGAAGAAAGGTTAAACTTAAATGTTTGGAAGATAATGTGACAATATCGTTGAAAGAAATTTCTGAGATATCGATCAATATTCAAGCCCTATAGGAAATTAATATTGGATTAAAACAAATGTCAATTATGTAACGTGATTTACACTGTAAAAAATGAATGGTTGAAACAACCAAAAAAAAAAGGTTCTCCTGGATGCAACCAGGACAACCAATTAAAATTTGGTTATTTTATTACCAAATTCATTTTGGTTAAAATTACCAATATTAATATTGGTTGAATCTACCAATATTTAATAGGTTGATGTAACCTATATTGAATTTAATTAATGTAACCAATGTGCAATGGTTTTTTTGACCAATTATTTCAACCAATTAAAGATTGGTTAAATTATCCTGAAATTCAGAGCACTTCAAATCAAATTTTGTCAAAACACACATATATATTATAAAAGATCTAATATAATAAATAAATTATCCTAATGGTTATTTGCATACATATATACAAATTACTACATTCAAACACTTATCTTACTAGGATTCATCTATCTATACTTAAGTCATTTCCAGGTTCTCAAAGCTGCGGTAAAAAGTTTTTAACTCCAATTGGAATGTTCGTTTTTCCGTCTGTTTGTAGTAATATCTGGTCCAGAAGAAGGAACACATTCTTTGTCTACCCACCTCCATCTTTAGGGTTCTCTGCGTTGGATACATACAATGCAGTCAGCAAACACACAACAGCATTTAAGATGGAAAACTGCTTAAACTTTATTGCTACCATGCCTTCAGCCAAAAGGTCTAGTGAATGGATGTCACCAAGAGATCCAGTTAATAGCAACTTCGGGAATGTTCTTTTTTTACAATGGTCTAAATTTCAACACCACTGTCATCCTAAAATAAAATTTAAAAATTATAAAACTTTATATTCCTAAGCTTGGAAATAAAACATTTACATATGCGAAAAATCCTGGGACACAAAAGAGCAAGACCCTACACTTGACAAGCAGCCACTTGGGCATATTTTTAGTTCTTATGGAGTAACTCTTGAACTATAGTTTAATATTTACAGGGACAATTTCCCAAAATAATTGTCCAGGTCTTTCTCTGCCTCAACTGATGCAGCGGGGCAGTGTAGATGCAATGGTTTTCAATTTCTATTAAATAAGTTTGATTACAAGATTCAGCAGGCAACATAATAAATGTGATTTGCATAGTTCAACATTGTATATTATATACATATATCTGTAGATACCTTTTTCTAGTTCGGGTGACAATCCTCTAATAGACCAATAATTTGTTGGACATCTTTGTTCTTCTTCTTTTCCAGAGCAGCCAGCATTGATGGCTTCTTTGAATCAATGTTTGGGCATCTTAAACATGTGCATCGAAATGATGCTCTACACACAGAAAAAGTAAAAGTCAACAATTAGCTAAACCAAGATATGTATATAAGATATATTAACTTCCACAAATAGTTACTAACAATTACTACTTACCACATATACTCTTAACTTTCTCTGGGTCGAGTTGGGGTTTTGCATCCTTTTCTTTAAGACATTTGAAAGTTTCCCAGGGATGGAATGAGAGCAAAGTTGTTCTTGCATCCTCGACATGCCCATAATTGCATAAACCAAATTTTGACCTTTGGTTAATATGTTTGGATATAAGAAAATCTGTAAATTTTAACAGTAAATATGAAATTTAAACATTTGACACCTTATTCATTCTTAGCATGATGCCATGATATAGCTATAGAATTTATAAATGTACTGCAAAAGCATTGACAGAAATTGTAATGGCCCTATTTATAATGATATAAATAAAAGGTATATTATATTATCTATATGATTCACCAGAAGTAGGATTTGCAGTTGTTGAGTTTTGACAGCATAAATACAATAATACTTGCCATTTCTGATTCAGCATCAGAATTTGAGGATTTCTGATTCAGCATCAGTCACAAGAATCTTGCACTTAAAGGTGATCTTGAAGCCTTGATGGAGTGAATAAAGTAATCTTTTAAATGACTCAGTGCATGGTTATATATAGAGGGCATTTCATATTTAATTAATACTAGTAGGCATGTGACAGCTAGACAAAGTTTTGAAAAAGTGTCCAGCAGCCATACAAAGTCTGATCTGAAAAAATAGTCAATATTTTAAATATAAACATATACTATATACAAACACACTCACCACTGAATTATAATACTTTAGCTGTACACATGTTGTTGTTGAAATTGTAGATAGTTGAATGGAACCTTTGATTATTTTCTTATCAACTTTAGAAATTCCACATGGCCATGACACAATTACTTCTTCCTCGCGATCACAGTCACTATTCACAAATAATCCGGATCTCCTCGCATATTAATCCAGCGTGTTTCACCAATTTCGCATGACTACTCATTGACAAATTCAAATAACGCGTATTTTATGTTAAAATACGAAAGAAAAACTCACTAAATTCTACTATAAAACCTTGAACGATGACAAAGAGTCAAAGACGCGCTCAAAATTTGAAAATAAAGCGTGTCGGTTATACAAGTCCCACATAACCTTGCGGTCCTTTTTGGGCAAAACGCCCGCCACCTAACCTGCGAACAGGTATATTATGAAAACAGTTTACAATAAGTGTGAAATATGTGTGATTTGTCCTTACAAAACGAGTGATTTTTGCTGAGAATTTTAACTTTAAGATTTAATATTCTTTTGGATTTGTAAATTCTATAGAATACGGCAATGGAATTCTATATAGCATAAGATCATACGAAGTCCTATAGAATATTCTATAGCCATAGGATTTAGAATGTGCTATAGCATTCTAGCATATTCTATTGGATTCAATAGAACATAGAACCAGAGGTCTACAAATATACCCCATTGACCACAAAGATTAATTGGTCAATTTAACCAAATTTTATTTGTTGCTACTAAATATATTTGGTTGTTTTTACCAATATGAGCTTTCATATCCATTTTACCAATTTTTTATTGGTTATTTCTACCATTTTAATTTGGTTTTAACCAATTTAATTGGTTGAAACAACCATTTTATATGGTTGCAACCTTTTTTTTTGGTCATTTCAACCATTCAGTTTTTACAGTGTATTTACGCATAGATATATTGCCATCCCTGAATTTTGCATACCCCTTCCGCGGCTTAGTTTTGTGAAAATAAATTATGACACATTAAATTTTACGCCGTTCTGGGATTATTTTAGCTAGGAATTATGGTTCTCCTAGCCGCTTTATTCTGTCGAAAAAAGGATATTTATGAATACATTTAAATTCAAAATATTTATGCTCAGACTGAAAGGGAGGAGGAAAATTACCGCCAGCACCTGGCTATTCAACCCCTTTCCCATATTGCGTGCACTCCATTACCTATCGCGGTCTTTCAGATAAACACCAAACCCGTCATATAAGAGTTTGCATTGTCGTCGGCAAGGCGTATCCTTTTGGGGGTACATATTGCCTAGTCGTCTGTTTATTAAATCACATTAAACGAATTTCTTACTTTGTACGTAAATATTTGTTTTATGTAATGTTATATTTATGAATACATTTAGCATGCAGCGAGCAGCATGCAGCGAGTGAAAAAATTACTGTGGGTTTAATTCGCCATCGATCGCCTCAAATACTACAATGAGCAACGACTTCGCGGAATTAAGAAACTCTGTATAGTTATATCAATTCAGAAATAAACAAATAAGGTTTCACCTCTAAAGGTCTTGTTACACGGTGCAATTTTTCTTGCAACTTGTATGCAATTCTATTTTAAAGAGATGTAAATTAGTGAAGAGTTTAAAATGTTATATAGTGTAGGAAGCGCCAAGGAGTAAAGTTTGGTAGTTGCCAAATTACCATCTCTGAAAAGAAGAATTGCATTGCAAGCTGCAAGAAAAATTGTACCGTGTAACTTGGCCTTTAGAAATTGCTGAGCCACATCCTAGGTCGCACTGCATGCATGCAGTCGATATCCGGTGTTGTGAAATTATAGCGCCGCCTCGTCTTGTTGCTAATAATAGCAATGTTTGACTCATAGAATTATAGCCCAACCTGTAATTACTCGCTGTTCGATACACCTGTATATATAATATACACTAATATAAATATTTATATATGTTATTTACCAGATTGGCGGTCCGTGTGGGGATATATTTCCGCTCGCGTAGCCATTCAGATGGCAGGAGACAACAACACTCGAACAACTAGAAAAAAAAACATTAGATATGTAAAAAAAAATTAATTAAATAATCGACAAGGTTTGGCCGGCTTCATTTACTTCCGGTCAGCGGAATCGAAAAATCAAAATCAAAAATATATAAATAGCGTTCGAAAGCGCTTGTTGTCACAGATAGCTTCCGACAACCGACCAGAGAGGAGAAAAATTCAGCAAAGAAAATATAAGACCAAGTAAGTTAACTTTGTAATATTGTTTTGTAATATTGATGTTGGTACTGTTCTACTCGGGCTTGTAACTCGTAAATAAAGCACCATCACCTCAAGGATTAGGATTTATCAAGATTATCCGTCTTTTTTATTCGAATGGTGCTGGATAGGTCGGCCAATTTCTCCCAGGTTTAGGAGCATTTCCGACTTTATTTGCTGGAATTAATACATATATAGACGCCTCACAGACACGGTCAAAAGTATATATAGTTGACTACATTGATTGACGAATGAAACTATACTTAAGTTTTCAACAAATGGTACATATTAGATAGGCTTTTTTATTCTTCGTTTTAGAGTATTATCAATTTGCTGCTGAATAATATATAATTAAAAAGCAAGTCGTTTGCTGTGGAGTTGCGAATCTGTATGCGCCTAAAAATAAAAAATGTACAAGAACTCGTAGACTAATCATAACATACAATGTCTATGACATTCAACGACAGTTAAATATAGTTTGTTGGTGTCATGTGGTACAGTCGCGTTTGATAGTCGTGCATGTGTACATGTCTGTGTGTAGATAATAACGTGCTTTATTTCGTATTGCAGCAAAGGGTAAGGATATTTTTTGCGTTTGAGTCGTTGGGGCCATAAATAACGTGTATATTTTACGCACGACTGTTGTATGTTCGTTCCGTGGTCGGTGCAGCTCAAGGCCCTTACGCATGCATTACTGCAAGAACTAGGCTAGATCACTACCGGTTAGTATGCTACAATGTTCCACAATTAGCCTCTTTCAGGCGCAAATGGCAACAGCTACCAACAGCATTGAATGAGCTTTACGTTTAAAAGTGCACTTCAAACGAGAAGTTTATGTAAATTTTGAAGGCGAAGTCCCGGTGGTATTGGAGACTTTAGGTAGCGACGTTTTTAGCAACACTGGTATCAGGCGTACATTATTTGGCGGTAAATACCCGTGTCAGCTGTTAGCGATTCACTGCATAAAAACAGTGTATTATATTTCAAGAAAAAAAATATTAGAAAGGTATTTCGACGTGAAAATCAGTGTAAATATGTGTATATGTTGTATTCCTTAGTATACGTATTAAGTGTGAAACTCTGTCAGTATACAGTATAGCACTTTGGAATATCTCACTTCTTGCTTAACCCATTGTTTCAACGGATTTCGTCAGCTGACATTCTCCAAATATTATTTTGGATGCTCAGAAACGAAGTGTTTCGGTCTTATAAATTATTTCGCGCGAATTCGCTCATATAATACAAAAATTGATCATGCATGTTAGAAAGGTTTATAACATGCATCGATAACGTATGCATGCAGTAGCGTGCATGGAAAAGCATGTATATGAGAAAGCCAATGGTTTTAGCTAAAGCCGTAAACCCTCAGAAAACTTCGATTATGGTAAAAAACCCGGTGGTAGCTAATAAAGAACATCCCAGCGATGTTTTTGTAAAAAGGCTATGCGTTAATAGACTGTTTTTGTGCATGGTTGTAACGACACCATGGTTAGCAATAAGTTAGTCAACTATACGGCACAAAAAAAATCATGTGTGCATGTGAGCGTTTTGACATGCAAATTGCATGGGTTTAATATTACGTTTAAAATATATCCCCTAAGAGACAGGATAACTTTCAAGACTTGTGGGTTGTACTAGTGGGTTTAGTAATGCTAATTGCGCCTTTGCCTACGCAAAGAAGCCCTATTTTACCTTCCTCTTTGCATACAGTTATACACGAATACTCGATTTTCATTTATTTGGAGAGATGAAATGCCTCATCAATTTCAATATTTATCACTCTACCCTAGCTGAGATGAAATATTCAGAAATAATCAAGTTCTCGTCACATATTTTACAAATTTGATGGTGTATTTTTTGAACAATAACAAACTATTTTCATGTACCAAACTTTTTAGCATCGCAAGTTATTACTGCTACCACATTACGTCCCAAGGAGAATTTTGTTTATTAAAAACTGGTTTTCACATATTGTTTTGGATAGTTTTATTTCTGAATCCCTTTTCCCTACTCTGAAATAGATCCTTAACAAGTGCAGAACGGAATTCTGAATAGCTTCTTTTAAATTTATTATATCATTCGAATTGTTTTAGAGAAAAACCAAAGTAGTATAAAAATGGCATACGTCCCAAAAGTCTATAGTTATATGGTCAACTTCCTGACACCAGCGGAAATTCGACCAAATATAATCTTTCCGACGCAGGCCTCCCTGACCCAGTAAAGGAGGTTCTCGTTTATATGTGGGCCACAACCAAGGGTGATGAGGCATTTCATCGTTATTACTATGAAGTGTCCACCAAAGATGGAACGCAAACATACAGTCAATACATGAATGTTGCTGCGTCGAGAGATGTTTCTCTTAATTCCGCCAATCTTTGGCTGCCTGTTTTCCCAGGCAACGGTAGGTAACTCGTTAGTTTCTACACCTTGCGATGCTGCGAGCATTGAAATATGTTGTCACAATTTTTTTTACAAGCTGCGAGAAACCTGCTAAGCACTGCTTGTTCAAAATTTTAGTAACATGATTACGGTAGGTTTTTGACAATGTAGCAAACAAATTCATCATTTGGGTTTTACTTTGAGATGAGAAGTTATTTTAAGATAATTTCCGTCAGCCAAATAATTAAGATAACATTCTTGAGGTTAAAAAGAAGTAATAGAATTTAAAAAAAATAATATAAGTTAGTGGGAGTATTTAAATTAGTAATTTTAATTTGTGATTGCATGTAATTTGTTTCAATACGTTTGCATGCATAGCTGATTTCGCAGGCTTCAAATATGCAGCCATAAAGCCAGTCGAAAGCTTGGTAGCAGCTAGTTCCGGGCTTGCAACAGAAGTTACAGAACATTTTTAAGTTGCGAAGGAGAAGTAACAATTTGAATAGAGGGTGTGCTGCCGTGTTAAATCTATGAAAGATTGTCTCAAAACCAACCCGAGTTACGAAGGAATCAACATCTCTGCTTTATGTTATTTTAACAATAGTTCACCTGTTGGTAACTGTCCATAATTATTTTGACTGTTCTAGTTTTGCTTGATTTGAGCAAAGCATTTGACAATATCGACCACGACCGTTTCTTCCACAAGTTACAGAACTGTGGAATCTCGTCAAATACACCAGAATGGTTTGGCGCTGAAATATAGGACTTACTTCACATAACGAATAGATTTCCCCAAACTGGTATACCGGACCCCTCCCTTATTGTTCAATCTGTTCATCAATGATCTTAAACAGTAAGCTGGAAAGTTATGTAGATGACTCCAAACTGTTTTTATCATCTTGTATTGGAAACTTGAAGATGTAGTACCAACAGTAAATATTGATCTTTTCACGGCTGCTACTTATATATTCAAGTAACAATTGCCTTCTTGCTATCCCGGATAAAACAAAGATTATGTTCTTTGAAACACAACAAATGCTGAAACACATTCCGGCCGGTACCTCATTTATGTTTTTCGGGAAACCTATACAACCAGTCCAACATGCCAAAGATCTTGGCCTAATTATGGACACAAGTCTATCATTTGATGAACACATGTCAAGCAGTCATTATTATGTTGTATGAAGAAACTGCATCAAATAAATAGAATTAAGAACATTTTTAGGCAAATTAACTCTGGAAATGATAATACAATCTTATGTCTTTTCCATCCTCAACGAGTCAAAAAAACATTTTTAAATATAAAACAATGCAAAACTTTGCTGCCCCATAATGACAGTATCTCGCAAATATGGCCATATAACACCTGCTTTAAAGCAACTGAAATATCTTAGCTTCCCGTTGAGGACATTTTGTATCTGCGGAACTGCGTTATGACGTATAAATGTATGAACAAGTTCGAACCTGATTACCTATGCCAAAAGTTTGTTACTCATTCTTTGATTAGCAAGAACGAGTTTTTAAAACTTCTAAAGCCCAGAGGTCCTTTTTATATAGGGCTTCATCAATTTGAAATAGCCTTGACGACTCACTAAAATCTAGATTGACAGTCCAAAGGTTTAAACTTAATAATATGTAGAAAAATCCTCTCACGGATTTCTCAGATAATTAAGTAATCCTCTGTAAATGTAAATTTGAGCCAATGTCTTAAACTGGAGTTTTTCGGTATTATCACGGCATATTTGTAAATTAATTCAAACCTTTGTAAATAATGCGATATAGGCTACATACAGTAGTATAATATAAAGAAACGTAAGTTCGAGCTGAAAAGCTTCTCGAGGAGATTCTAATGCATGCTGTATAGATGTATGGATGTATGTCAACTGACCCTTTCAAATTAAAACCGTTTAAATGGAATTTCGGCGTTAAACAAATTATACAGAAAGCTTGATTTTCGGCCTAGAAACGGTTTGAACAAAGAATCCAAAATAGGATTTTAGACGGTTCAATCTCACCAACAGGATTGCTTAAAACCTGAGTTAGAAATGTTTTGTTATCCGACGAGAAAATGTCAATTGTAAGGATACCTAAATCGATGTATGTGCAAATTTCCACACTATACACTCTGATCTTCTTTAGGAGTAGTTACCGTAAAATTGGTGGACGCTGATCCTGCCCCAAAATCAGGTAAATGCATTGCTCACAGATGCCAGAAAACAGGCGGAAGAAGTGGACAAGGAGAAATGACCTTCAGTGAATTCTTCGTCTTGGGCTATCGCGCTTAACTGTTTTAAACTAAAACATCGTCCTAAGCATATTGTTTAATTTTTAAAACTATCAGGTGTATAATAACGTTAATAAATACATTTGTTTAACTTTCTTTACTGAATTTGTTAAATTTTATTCTCCTGCTCTCCTGCATGGTTAATACTTACATGGCCGATGGTTTTCGGGGTTGAGAAGCATAACATTCGTCTTCATAAAGCTTATAACCAGTAAAGCAAAGCATCTTGTATTTCAACCAGTATAATTTAAGCTATGTATAGGAAATGACACACTTGTACGATAAGTTATAGATTTGATTTTTTATATCAGAATTATTAGCAGCGAACGAACGAGGTACTGTTTTTCTCCACCAGGACACAAAACCAGAAAAAAACCCATAGCTATTTTCCCGCAACAGCAAAAATACTCGACGCATAAAATTGAATATAAAGCATAAATTTAACATATTAGAAAAAAGTGTCTATTTGACTAGCTCAACTTCGAAGAACGAATTTACCCTTTGTAGATAGTTCTATATAAGTTACCCGCAGCATCTAGCTGTAAAATCCGGCAAAGTAGAAGCTTTGTATCAGAAATATTTAAAGAATTGGAACGGACCGAAAACAAACTTCGCATTCGACTAGCAATAAAATAATAGGTTTAACCCTCTCCACGTTCAAGAAACTTGTTTTTCGGAAAAATCAAAGTGTCATTGCTTGCTTCAAGCTTTGATTCATGCTCAGATGCGATGGGCTTGTGTATAAAAACCGGCATAGTTTTGATGGTGTAATTTCAACTCTAGGCGGCCTGGAATTTGGCTTCAGGGTTCGCAGCCAATTTATCATTCCAGTCGTTTTAGTGTTCAGTCCGGGACAGGCTGCAACAGAACCTGTCCAACATCTTAAACCCTTAAACTAACAATACGATGTTTTAAGGGTTCAATTTTGAAAGAGGTTTAAAGAAGTGAAAAGAAAATTAAGTGAAAATAATAAAGACCTTAACAAGAATCGCACCGGGATGTTCCGTATGCAGGGCAAGCGCCCCTTTCGACCACCGTAACGTTGCTCAGTTCCAACGTAATTTACCTCTATTTATAACATAGAAGATTGGACATGGTTAGAGAGCTAGACAATAACAAGCCGGACTAGATTCCTGTCTTCAGCTGCAAAACGCGCTTTCTTTGGACGCCATGCTGTCTTCGCTTTGCAAATAACCTTGGTATCATTATTATTATTATGATTATCATACATAATAAGTATTCCCAATCGGGTTTTTCAATACCTATTTACTTTACAAAATATGAGAGTGAAAAACTAATATATACTGCGTTCGTAAAAATATTACAGGCTGTATGATAATGGTAAAAGGAGAATACAAGTATATTAATACAATATTTACAAGTAATATTAAAAGTTTAATCAGGTTTCAAAGTATTGCCTTAGCATGCATATACCGTTTTAATTTAGTCTTGAGTGATATTTACGGCAGTTATTTTAGTTTTTCTTCCAGACCGTTTCATAATCTCCCAGCTATATATCTGAAACTTCTCTGACCAGTAGTGGTTGAACATAGGGTAATATGTAAAGTATTGTCATTTCTTGTCGTGCGATCTTTTAATTGCATATGTATACGTTTCTGAAATTGGTTAGACAAATATGAGGAGCCAAACCGTTCATACATTTGTACAGTAGATTCTCTTTAACAGGCAGCCAACGAAGGTCATGTAAAACTGGCGTAATGTGGTCAAATTTTTTCCCGTTAGTTATAATTCTGCACGCAAAATTCTAAACAGCTTGTAATTTCTTAATATTTGATGAGCTTGTATTTGACCAGAATGTGGAACAATAATATAATTTGCCCATGACCACAGCACAGATGATATAAGTCAACATATTTCGATCGAAACAATGTTTACGGTCTTCCGTTACCAGAAATTTGCGACATGATAATTTGCATTTATACTAATTTGCATTTAACTTTCAGCATAATGGCCTTCAACTTTTACTATAAAATACATATAGTAAATATACAAAACCTAAAAATGCCGTTGTCCTAGACCGTGCCTACTGTTTGCCGACCTCTGGGTCAATAGAACAGTCGTTTCCCAACGTTTTAATGATCGAATTACTTACCTTAGGTATTTCTACGTTCGGCCAACTGATTGTGAACAAATGTGTATATAGCCTTCGTAATGTTCAAGTTCCTGATAAGACTGATAATATTTTTTAAAGTGATTGCAGGGTACAACTATAGAATACCCCGCATGCGAGAGTACTATGTAAGCTGGCTACGTGGCTACGTGTATATTTTTTGGTTACATTTAGGGTTGTAGGGTATTTAAAGTTTGAGGGTGCTTGTTTAGGAGGCTTTTTAGTGAGTAACACTGTGTTTAAGTTAAAGTAATTCAACTGGTTGTTTTATAGGGGGTTAAATAATAGAGGTTAGCAAATTATTGGATTTAAGGTTCTATTTTAAGAAGTGTGTATTTTAATATTTCGGTATTTTAATGGTTTTGTGCAGAATTAGTAAGTATCGGAATTTTAATTATGTAAGGGGTTGTAGGTTAGGGTTAGGGTGA